GGCCGCCCCACTGACGTCAGGCGGCCCTGGAGCCAACGAGACTCCTGGGCGTCACCTCGGCGCCCTGCGGGGTGTGCTCCTGGAAATGTCTTCGTGGTGCTGCTGGCGGCGTCAGATAGGGCTGGATCTAAGTCGCTAGCCCAGGCTCTGTCCTCGTACCTTTGGGTGTGTTTCCTTTACGAAGATGCGGCACCTGGACTGCGACCTTTGGCTCCAGCTGGAACTTTCCAGCCTAGGTCTCCAGCCAGTGTGGCCGTGCACCCAGTGTGTGCTTCTGGGGAACAGTGCGTGGTGCTTTTGTCGCCCCGTGATCACGCTCAGTGTGCCCTAGTTGGCTCTCCGCCTCATTGTTGTTTTAAGAGGTGACAGGTTCCTGTGACGGAGGACAGATGGAGGTTTTCTCTTGGAATTGATTAGGCTAACTGTTGGTTCTCAATCCTGTCTGCACATCAGAATCACTGGGCGAGAATTAAAAGTACCCAGTTTTCAGGCCCCCGTCCCTACAGATTCTGAGTCCGTGGGTCTGCACAGGTGCCTGGACTGGCGTTTCATCCAAATCCCCCAGGTGATTCTCACCTCTGAGAGGCTTCTCCCGTCACTGAGGCGTTATCAGTTCCCACGGCAACCTGGCCAGCATTCCTAGGGGAGGTAGGAGTTGCAACTCCCTTCTCTTCACCCCACATCGTTTTGGGGAAAGTTCAGCTCTGCCTCAGGAGCCCTTGCTGCAGAGAATGGTGGGGAGTGTAGCCGTGCGCCGTGTCCCACTGTTTTTAGGGGAGTACAGTGGCAGCCTCTTTCTTTCAAAGGGGTGTCTTCTGGCAATGACCATTAATTGCTGGATCTTTCCACATTACACAGCATGAAAGCTTGCGTCAGTTTCCAAGCCGGGGTGGGCCCCAAGGAAAGCAGGCTGTAAAAATCTCTCTGAGGACTCTTTCTCTCTGTTACCCCACCTTGAGGGAAGGTAGAAGTGAGGCCAAGGGGCCCAATTCACCACACATTGGTGGGGGAAGGGAGGGGAGGGGAAGGCGGCTGGCAAAGTTAGGGGTTTTCCTGCTCTTGTGGATTTAGTGAATGGGGTAGAAAAACAACAACCTTATTTTGACTTCAGTGTGAGAGCGCGGAGTTAGAGTTTACAGCGTTTCTCTTGGCACAAGGATTTTTATAAAGCCTCCCTTTATTGGGCTCCTAGGCAGGAGGATCTAATCACTGTTTCCTCAACTTTGCTGAACCTAATAATTCCTTGGGGCAGTTTTAAACAGACTTCTAAACCCTGGGCAAGTGTGGATGGGTCCTAAGCAAATTCCATATTTGGGTAAATTGAGGGTGTGGGGAGACACACCCTCAATTTCCCCCTCCCCATCCCTGCCAGCTTCCCCCTCCCCATCCCTGTCACCTCAGGTTCAGGAAACAGTAAGTACAAATGCCCTCTCAGCTTGAATCAAAATCATGGGCAAGGCACATGAAACCGCAGGTTGCCAAGCAAGCAGTTCTGAGTCAGTAGGCAGGGCATTTCCAACAGGTTTCCAGGTGATGCTGATGCAGCTTGTCTGGGGACTGCCCTTTGGCACCGAGGCTGGGTGTTGAAGAATGGAACACCCAGCCTTTGGCTTCATCACCTACCTTCTGGTGACTTTGGGAAAGTCATGTATGTGTGTGTTTGAAAAAGAGAGACTGATATCTAGAGTTTGTGAAAATAAACTGCTTCCCCAGTAAGGGGCAGAGTACATAAAAGACAAGTCTTTTTAACAACAGATCAGACCAGGATGGAATTCTTGTATTAAGACAAGATCCAAGGCAGAGGACAGAGGGCGGGGACATGTCCTGCAGGCCAGGCTGATAACTGCCCGCCTGGCAGCACTCCCAGCATGGAGTTTGAGGAAGAGGTTTAACCCAGAGGAGCCACGCTCAGCAAACATTCGGATCAACGTGGAGCCCAGAGGCTAATGGCCCCTCTGGCTGGGTATCACAGAGAAAAGCCTGTCAGCTTCCTGCCCCCGGAGAAGGGCTCTTCAGGCCTATTCCCTGTGGACTGCTTTTTTTCTGGCTCTATTGTATTTGCGAAGTTCTCACTCATTCCCCACAATGCCTCCTCCTAGCTAAGCCCCTATTCAATGACTCAGGCCCTTGCCTCTACCGGAAAAGTCTCACAGAGATTCCCGGGCTCACGTCTGTGTATGGGGGGAAAAATCTTCCAGTTTCCTCTTTGTAGTTTAAAATGCTCTCAAAGTCCCTACTGATTTGAAGACTTGGGGGCCAAATGAGCTCAAGTTTGAATAGGGAAGGTGCTGTCATTAATAGTGATAATAATCATGTCGTCTGGGCGTGGTGGCTCACACTTGTAATCCCAGCACTTTGGGAAGCCGAGGCGGGTGGATCACCTGAGGTCAGGTGTTCAAGATCAGCATGGCCAACATGGTGAAACCCTATCTCTACTAAAAAATACAAAAATCAGCTGGGCGTGGTGACAGGCGCTTATAACCCCAGCTACTCAGGAGGCTGAAGCAGGAGAATCACTTGAACCTGGGAGGCGGAGGTTGCAGTGAGACGAGATTGCGCCACTGCACTCCATCCTGGGCGACAGTATGGGACTTAGTCTCTAATAATAATAATAATATAATAATAATAATAATAATAATGCCAACTGCTAATTATTGAGCTCCTAATATGTTCCAAGTGCTGTCATAAGTGCCTTACACACAGCATCGCATTTAGGCTGCCCAAGAGGTATCTCATATTATTCCCTTTCTGCAGATGAGGAGATAAGAGCTCAGAAAGGTTAAGTCAACACAAGTTTGCACAGCTAGTAAGAGGCTGAGCTGTGACTTAAATTCAGGTTGTTCAGTCCAAGCCCTTGTTATTGATATTTTTTAGTTTCAAGTCAACCTTTCAGGAAGGCTTTGGAAGAAGAAGTCTTGTTTGCCACTCGCAGCAGAAGCAATGGGTAGGGTGTTCTCTAAGCTGCCCTGCATGTTCTGGTGAGTTACAGATGGTGAAAACAGGAACATTTTTCTTGTTCTCTTAAGAACATCTGGCTTGACTGAAACAAGTGGCAATGCCTGCCCTGTGGCAATGACTTTCAAACCAAACCCAAGCTCATAAACATCCTTTGGCCACTTCCCCAAGTTCCAGAGCATGTAACTGGCAGTTGTGCTGTACCAGGGCATGGGGCAGGAGGCCAGCTGTTAGCTACCCGTTTGTAAACAGGTCCTGTGGGAGGGCTCTCAGCATGTGTGGAGCCTTGCGATCAGAGTCCTGTTCTGCATTGCAGGGGAAAAATCTCTTGACTCCATGGGTGAGAGATATAAGTAAGCTCTGAGACCCCAGCCTGCCTGTACGTGGGCAGAGTCTGCCCTCTGGGCCTCCTCCTGCCAAACCCACCATTCTGCCACCACTGCCCTCAGCCAATTTCATAGCCAGGAAATACTGGAAGGGTAAAGGTAGGGAGGTATTGCAAAAGGAATGGGAGAAAGAAACAGTTAAGGAACTCACGGTTGCATCTATCCAATATGATGCCTTTGTGCAAATCAGAAAAAATACCTCTTCTGCAATATGCTTTTCTGCCACCTGCCAGAACATTATCATAATGCAGATACAAATCTCCCATCATTCTGATCCGAATGGCACTCCCTAGAGCTGTTCAGTGCACACCCTGTGTCCCTGAAGGATCCTTGGCTTCCTCTGATGGGTGCGGAGCTTAAATAACTCCACCGTCCTCCTCCTTTATTCCCTACTTGCAAATCTCCCCCATTTCTCCAAGTAGGCAAGGATATCTGTCCTGCAATGCAATAAGCATAATGCAGATGGTCTCCTAAACTTCCCGAAACCTGCCCCCCACAAAAGGGAAAAGAGCAATTCATCTGTGAAGAAATTTTTTTCTTTTTGACACTCCCCAGGATTGGGGCAGTCAGAGGAAGACAATTTGGTTGCCAAAATGTTGGAATCTCCAATATTTTCAAAAGTTTGGGAAGATCATGGTCCAGGAAATGCAGGCCCTGCGATGGTGGTGTTCATGAGAGCAGGGAGGGCGAGGGAGAAAGGAGTTTCGTGATGTGTTGGGAGAGGCAGAGACAGCAATAATGCCATCCTAGAATTAGGCTTTCTCCTTCAGGGGTTTATGTTCCCCTCTCCTTATAGCTGGTCTTCCTGTGGGTCTGCTGTTTCTAGGAGTGGCTATGAATCTGCGTCCAAAGACTTTGTCCCTCATGACTTGGAGGTCCAGGTTCCTGGAATAGTCTTTTTGGTCACTGGAGGAAACAGCGGCATTGGCAAAGCAACTGCCCTTGAAATCGCCAAGCGAGATAAGCAGCTGCTAACACGTGTGTCCACTGAGCCCCACGGCCAGACTGTGGCCGGTCCACACGGAGGAGGGTACCCTGTGTCACAGGCAGGTCAGGAAGTCCTGGACGACGATCCCGTGGTTCTGGGCACAGCTGCCAGCTTTCTGAGCTTTGAGCTAGAGGTGGCTAAAGCAACAGGAGCCCTTTCCTCAACACTTAATTAATTCACAGGAGAGCTTGGGCCCTGCCCACATGTCCCAGTGTTTTCTGATTAGGAACAGTGAGGGGCTCAAGCAAACCCTGGATGTCAGAATTCCCAGTGGAATTTAATTTAAAAAAAACGTGGACACCTGGTCTCTAACTCATGTCTTCTCAATGAGACTCTTCTGGGGTTAGAGACGGGGAGGGGGAGCCTCGGAGTCCACCACAATTTGGATATGGATGGTAGTTATGAACCAATGCCCCCAAAATACCTGGAGAGAAGAGTGCATTGAACTGACCTTCCTCCTTGCTGGGGTCCAGCCTCCAGGGCTAGGGCAGCCTCCCGCTTCCCTCCCCTAACCTTGACTATAAAGAGGCGCTTCAGGTGCCCTGTAGAGTCTTCAGTCAGCAGAAGTCTTCCTCATGGCAAATGCCAGAATCTCCTGCATGAGCTCCATGATCCTGGGTCACCAAATGGCTCTGCAGTGGCTGGAAAGGTTTGCTGCATCTCTCGAGAGCCTCTTCTGGAAAAATGGATGTTCCAGCAGAAGATGGGGAACTAGGTTGTGAATTTATCGCTTTTTAAGATGCTGAAGATGTTTTCTTTTTTCCTCTCTTTAAATCCAAGTTAGGCATTTTTCAGGGGACTGTTATATCATTTGAAGCTTTATTTAATTATCTGCCAAGTCAGGGAGAGGATTAATTGCATCTTAGCAGCTGGGAAGCACTCTGAAGTGTGGAGAGGAGGAGAGAGAAGAGGGGCTGGTGTTGTGGTTAGCCTGTAGCCTCCCATGAAACAGACCCCATTTAATCAAGTGGGTGATTTTTAGTAAAGAAAGCAGACTCCATAATGATTTCTTCTTAGCTGCCACGGCGAAGGCATTCTGCTTTAAATTGATCTTGATTGATGACGGTGTGGCATTGGCTGGGATAATATGAGGGCTGCTGATGGATTCAACATTCAGTCAATACGTGAGTCCGTACTACATGCTAGGCAAGTGGTTCTCTACTTTGACTGAACATTACATCACCAGGGGAGCTTGTAAAACTTACCCAGGCCTGGGCCCATCGCCTAGATCTTTAAAAGCTCCCTAGGTGAGTGTAAAGTGCAGCCAGGGTTAACACCTCTGGGTCAGCTACTATGCTAGATGCTAGGGAGGCAGATGTGACCCAGATCAATGTTTCTTATCCTTGATGTGTTTAGGCCCTCAAAAAATCAGGATGTTATCCCAGAGGCACTGTCAGCACAGACAGACAGGAAGGTTCCAGTACCTCCCTCACGATCACCCTCGCTGCTCTAACTCTGGGAACCACCCATCTAGGTTTAACAGAGGAGTGTCAATTGTGAGCCCATATGTCTTCATTTTTCATTCGGAAGACCTGGTTTCTGTAGCTCTCGCTGTAACTCACAGATGGTTTCATTGAATTCCACCAGATGGCACAGTTCACCTGGTTTGTCGAGATCAAGCCCGAGCAGAAGATGCCAGGGGTGAGATCATCCGCGGTAACCAGGTGAGCAGCTCCTCACCCCTCCTGCTGGGTTTCCTCGCCTCCACGGTCAGCTGTGAGGAGGCTGGACTCCTGCCCACGTTCCCTGGGTTGACGATGGCCTGTGTTTGTGCTTCTGCGTTGGAAGCAGCCTCAGCCAGCAGAGAGCTGGGCCCTGCTTTTGAGTGGCTAGGTTTGACAAGAGGATAAGTGGGGCACTGAGGCTTGACCGCATGGTCCTGAGCTGCCTGTGAAACCAGCAGAGGCCAGCAGGCAGAGGCCCATTACAGTGGACAGTGATACTTCCAGGCTCCTCACCCCAGAGGGAGCCCACATCAGCGACACACAGCAAGGGTCACCGGGGTGCCATGGAGCCATGCGTTGACCCGATGTCTTCTAATAAAGAGAAGCACCAGCAGCGTTTGGGTCTTGATGAGAGCTACTTTCTGACATGGGCTTTCAGAGCTGCCTCACATTTTGTGATCTTTCTCTTCTGAAAGAGCTGGAACCACGATTGGCTACATAATTAGTGGGGCTCGGTGCAAAATGAAAATGCGCGACCCTTGTGTAAAAGTTATTTAGAATTTCTACACAACAAAGGCAGAACATCAAACCAAGCTTGAGGCCTTTCCATTCGCAGGGCCTGTATAGATCGTATTCCCGTGATACATCGTGCAGCCATGAGGCTGGCCCTGGATGGAAAACCCTGACCCCAGAAAGGACCCTCAGTCACCATGGCTGGTCGCTCACTGTCACTGAAGAACGCCCTCGTTCCATTCCCACCTCTTCTCTAGGAGACCCCACAATTGGAGAGCCCGTAGGAGGGGAGCCAGGGAGGGACAGACGGTACCCACCCTCAGGCATGGACCCTAGCCAAAGAGAGGCATGCCCCTGTCTAGGATGGAATATTTTGCATCAACTTTGAAATAACATTTTCACACCAAGTGTCTGTTCCTTTCCCTTTCTCGTGGAAATCCCCAGTCTCATGCCATCAGGTGCCTTACAGAGGCTTAGTGCTGGCGGCGAGTGTGAGGGTCTCTAAATCTTCCTCTAATGTCTGCAAGTGCCGCTGCGATCTGCGGGCTGCGGTTCTCGAGATTGAAAGCTGGCTGTCTGCCTGCTGATAACTTTCAGTGGTGCTGCTGCAGGATGCAACAAGAATACTAATCTCAGGCCGCGGGCAGGAGGAGGTTTGCCTGGATTCCAGCCCTCTGTGGTGTGGGCCACAGGCTTTAAAAAGTATATTTAAATGGAAAACGATGATAATATGGATCTGTTTGTAATATCCAGCCAGGCTTATATCCAATGCCACCATCTTTAGGAGGGGTAGAGAGCTGACAAGGGGAGCAAGCATGTTCCTGCGCTGGGGAGAAAGCGAGCCCTTGCCTGCTGCCCCCCTCACCTCCATACAGACACACTTGGTGGGATTTGAACGCACACACAGGACATTCACTGCTCTCTTGGGTTTATAAGTGGCCTCCAGCACTCACAGGTAGAGCGTCCAGGATGAGGGTACCTGTCTGCTTATGCCAGTGTCTGGTTTCCCTGACTCAGTGTCTCCTCCAGGCTCTGCCAGGGATCAGCTGCGCCTCCCTGCTTATGAAGAGGCCTCACTCTACAGCTGCTTCTGGTCCGCCTTTGGTAGGCAACCCACACACAAAAGCATGGTATGCAGGACGGAGTTGGGCACTGATACGAGTCCTGGTTTTGCACTTTCTGGCCTGTGAGCTTGGGCAATGTTCTTAGCTTCCCTGAACCTTCACTTCCTCATTAAAAAATAGGGGTAACTTGACTTTATTCGTTTTTTAACGTGTATTTAAGGGTGAACCGTATGCCAAGCAGCATGCTGGGTGCTGGAGACACAGTGATTGGGACAGACCCAGCCCCTGACAGTCTTGTGCAGGGTACAAGTGATTAACAAGCGGTTTCTTTGAAGTGTGTGTGCCTGCCCTGGGCCTGGCCTCTGTGCTTTGTGTCACAGTGGGGGTGCGTTGGGGGACAAATAGTATGAACCCCAAGGTATGTGTTTCTTCAGTTCCTACAACCAGATAGCTTTTGGCTGGGTTTGGCCAATGGCAGGTATTAGAGGAAGGTTGGTAGGTGGAAGGAAGTGGGGAATTGAGAGATATTGGCTTCCCTGGTGATGGCTGAATCTCCTCTCTGGTTCTTCCTTCTAGTTCCTGGGTTCAGGCCACACTGCATTCTCCCTTTGTTCCTTGAGCCTAGGGCTGGTGGTAGTTTCCTGTTGTTACTAATGTCTGCGTTACTTCACCAATCGTGGTTGAGTTCTCACCTTCCTTAATCACCTGGGAAATCAATCCCTGCATTCAATTCCCTCTGTTGAAAGAGGTGTCTGTTAGATGCTACTGAAATAACATGATAAGGGCTACAAGATGGGAAGCTCAGGGTATCCTAAGAACAAACAGCTCTCAATCAATAGAAGTAGCTACTGTTATTGTTGTTGCTATTATCATTTTTGTTTATACTAGGATTATTACCACTCTCAACCTTACATTCTCTGCTTCAAGTTTGTTCTGTTTAATCAGTGCTTAGGCCCTGCTTAGTGGGAGGTGGAAGCCTGCAAGCCCCCAGAAGCAAAAGAGATGTGTGGTAAAGCTGTGAGGGCACTGGAGCAGCTGGTCCTGCCTGCATGGTTGGGTGAACATCAAAGAAAGAAGGTCCCTTGGGCAGGAGGGTCGGGGTGAGGTGTGCGGCAGGGCAGCTTAGCCAGGGAGTACAGGCACCAGGTAAGACTCAGAGTCATGTGGGGATCTCAGCTGCTTGTACACGCTGGCTTGGTAATATCAGGTGTTTGGCCATACAGACAGGTGAATATCATGCCGAAGTGATCTTTCAGAGAGGTTATGTGTGGCCTAACCTTGGGGAAAGGAGTACTGGTTACTGTAGAGCAGACTTCCGGCTCACCAGTCCACTGGACACGATGCTCCCAAAGGGCCTAAGGGAGAAACAGGCTGGACCTTTCTCCCCAGGCTTCTGGTTGCAGTTCAGCCCGGCCTTACTGCCTGGCTCCAGACTTTTGTCTAGCAGTTATCCCCAGGGGCAACATTCAAAACAAACAAACAAACAAACAAAAACCCTTCTATTTTATTTATTATTTTTTGAGATAGGCTCTCACTTGGGATTTTTGAGATAGGCTCTCGCAGTTGGGATTTGTCTGATGTCTTTCTCATGATTACACTGGAGTTACGGGTTTTACAGGGAACGATCACAGAGGTACAGGTGCCTGCACAACGTGTTTCAGTCCTGCAGGCTTCCTGATGTGGCTGGAAGGTTCTGTGAAAGCACTTATGTCTTGTGGGGGATTAACTCCACCAACGTCACACGCCACGATAAAAAACGGGTTTCTACTCCAGCTCTTCCAGGCCAATGTGATTTCTAGCTTCTTGAGAATGGTTGGTTTAGCTTCCCAAGACCTCCGTGGTTTTACGAAATACTGCCTTATTTCTCCAGAATGATTTCTACTTAACAAAGCACCTCCATGCACTGTTTACCGTGCTCATTGCGGGAACTGTTCTGATTGGGGGATCAGTCCCCATGATGTCACCTCATGAGTCCTGGGCCACACAGCCGCTATAGATGGTGGCTCATCTGCAGAAAGGGTCCCAGCTTTGTTTTGTTTTGTTCAGTTTCAGTAACCATGCTTTGTCACAGTGGGGACCAGTGGCTGCTAAGGTGAGCCTTCTCGTTGTGTGGCTCTGCAGATTGGGACTTTTACACACATGCACCTGTTTCCAGTTCCTTCTCCTGGCCACAACAGACTGCTGGCCTTTCCTTCTTGGTGCTTTGTGGCCTCCTGTTTTGCCTCAGAGGGACACAGATGATTTCCTTCCTCTTTTCATAGTGCTTCATGTCACCAGCCCCGTGGCTGATCTGTCTAGGACAGTGATTCTCTCTTCCCTGCTGCTACCTCCTTTTCACTCTGAGACATCTCAAGCACTTCCAGGAAGCTCAGAGAACTTGTGGAATGTTTCAAGCAGAATTGGTTTTAGTTCACTTGAGTTTTGTTGCTGTTTTAACCTGGAGTTTGTATATATGTTAACACATCGCTTTCTGGTAGGAGGGAATTTTAGGGTGGTTGCAGACAAGGCCTCAAAATGGAAGGATTAGGTGTCTAGACTCAGTTTGCAGTCGTTGGTACAGGCTCCCGGCTGACTCAGACATGACTCAGCAGCCTTGTACGCTCTGGCTGGGTGAGGGCCTTCACAGGCATTTTCAAAGAGAATAGCTCTGTACAGACAACGTTTTTCCTATCCTTTGAAGGCAGAGGAATATCCAGTTGGGCCAGGCTTAAGCTGAATGTAGTGTTCAACCTGACTCGACTTTCTGAGTCATGAAAATGTGGAGTTGCTTCTGTCTTGTTTGTCTCAGGTGAAAAAACAATATGTTTTAAGATGAGTAGAAAGAAATTCTGACTACAGCTTTGGGGTTTATAGCTCAATTAATGGGGAAACTCAGGCAGGGCACGGAACTTCCCCGCTTTATCAAAGGAGTTGTGGCTCTTGCTCCGATCGTCGTCTGCAGGTTCAGTGCTTACATGCCTGCAGCAGCAGGAATTTCTGCCTTGGGTTAGTGATAGGTCACATATGTCCACTGATGCTCAGAGAGGGCACCGTTGCATTCACTGGATGCCAAGAATGCAAATTTGGACTTAGGTACTGGGTACAGAGAAAAAGGTTTAAACAGCCAAGGTCCGTTATTCAACTACCATGGCTGTGACTGTGTAATACCATAAGGAGAAAGGGCGCATTAGACAGTGTCCCTTGCTCACGGAGTTCTAAGTCTCCTGGGGAGGTGGCTGTGTCCAGTGATAACCATGATACAAGGCAGAGATTGAAAAGTGTCATGACCAAGGACTAAGGGTCACAGCAGAACTTACCATCTTATTTATGATGTGCCTAAGATACTGTCTTAAGAGCAAAATTTTGACCAAAAAAAAAAAAAGATCAGCGGCAGGGAACTCTGACATATCCATGCAAAGGTATGTTATGTAGTCATTAAAAGGAATAGGGTGGAGTCATATATAACAAAATCATCTCCAAGACCTCTTGCAAGTCCTACAACTCAATAACAAAACAAACAAACAACGACGTAACTTATAACCCGATTTGAAAATGGTGTAAGGACTTGAATAGACATTTCTCCAAAGAAGATATACAAATGGTCAACACAAGCTGACCACGGTGGCTCATGCCTGTAATCCCAGAACTTTGGGAGGCCAAAGCAGGCAGCTCACTTGAGGTCAGGAGTTCAAGACCACCCTGGCCAACGTGGTGAAACACTGTCTCTCCTAAAAATATAAAAATTAGCTGGGCATGGTGGCATGCACCTCTAGTCCCACCTACTTGGGAGGCTGAGGCAGGATAATCGCTTGAACCTGGGAGGCGGAGGTTGCAGTGAGCCAAAATTGCACCACTGTACTCCAGCCTGGGTGACAGAGCGCATTGGCACTCTTTTTCTCAAGAAAAAAAAAAAAATGGCCAATATATATATGAAAAAATACTTTTAATGTCAGTAGTCATCAGGGACATGCAAATCAAAACCAGAGTGAAATATCACCTTACACCTCTCAGGATGGCTATTGTTAAAAAAACAAAAGACAAAAAATGTTTGTTAGGTTGTGGAGAAATTGGAACCCTTGCACACCATTTGTGGGAATGCAAAATGGTGGAGCCACTATGGAAAACAGTATGGAGGTTCCTCAAAAAAAATTCAAAATAGAGCTACCGTCTGACCCAGCAATTGCACTTCTGGGTACTAATCTAAGGGAATTGAAATCAGGATCCTGAAGAGCCATTAGCACTGCCACATTCATTGCAGCATTATTCAAAATAGCCAAGATGTGGAAACAGCTTAAATGTCCATCGACAGATGAATGGACAAAGAAAATGTGGTCCATACATACACACATTGGAATATCATTCAGCCTTAAAAGAAAAGAAATCCTGCAATGACATGGATGAACCTGGAGGACCTAACCTAAGTTCAATAAACCAGGCACAGAAAGACAGAGACTGTACAATTTCACTTATGTGAGGTATCCATAGTACTCACAATTCATAGAACCAAAGGGTGGAATGGTGGTTGCCAGGGACTGGGGAAAGGAGAAGTGTGGAGTTACTATCAAAGGGTACAAAGTTTCAGTTAGGCAAGGTGAATAAACTTTAGAGGTGCACTGTACAGCATTGTACCTAGTCGGCATGCTGGAAATTTTGTTAAGAGGCTAGATCTCATATTAAGTATTCTTATCACAATAAAATAAATAAGTAAAAATTGTTTTTGCCACCAAAAACTAAAATACATATTGTTAAGTGCAAAAGATGGATGTAGAACAATGCATAGTCTGATCCTATTTGTGTGGAATATATATATATATATATCTTAAAATATATATAGTATATATAGTATATGCTTAAAATATTTCTGGATGATTCACAAAAAACTGTGAACAATGGTTTATTTTTGAGGAGTGGGACTGGTATTTTCCGTTTTATATCATTTCAAAGTATTTGCTTTTAAAAAATCATGTACTTTTTAAAAATTAAAAGTGCTAGTTTATATCTTTTTTAAAAGGGTTTATTTATTTATTTATTTTGTTTTCTAATTTAGAACATTTTTCTGCACATTGTGGACTTGTCTGATCCCAAGAAAATCTGGAAATTTGTTGAAAATTTCAAGCAGGAACATAAACTCCATGTTCTAGTGAGCTTTGTAAACATAAGTGGAGAATAAAGTCATGTTGGCCATTGTTTCCGTCTGTGGATGTGGACGGATATGTATGTTTGCGTGTCTTTATGGAATAATCTCAGTAAGACTCTTTGATGCTTGGGCCTGTTCATGGAATCAACTTTACTCATTGGATTTAAGAGGAGACCCGTGTGGTTAGATTAGTGGGGAAAGGTAGGGGCCATCCACTGGGTAGGTATTGTGGGAGGATAGACATGTTCCATGTTTTATAAAATGATGATTTGTATATAAATATTTCTCAGTTCTGTAGATTTGGGGATTGGTGTATTGAAATTAGAAGCTCTTTTCATCCAAAAGAATACCTCCTACAGACAAGCAAATCTTTTAGTAACATAATTAGCACAAAACTCCACAGAGAGCCTGGGTGGACTCAGATAGAAAGAGTCCCAGTATGCTCTTCCCAGATATTCCACTTTGAGCTAAGTTGCTTTTCTATCCAGAGACTTTCTGATGTGCTCTAAAATGTTGTTCCAGAGTCTGGAATTGTGCTATCCAGTATGGCTGTGAAGCATTTGAAATGTAGCTAGTCCAAACTGAGATGTGCTGTAAGTGTATAAATTAGCAGGTTTCAAAGCCTTAAAAAAATTATGTATGCCATCTCATTAATATTCTATATTGATTGCATGTTAAAATGATGCTACTTTGGATACATTTGGTTTAAAATCTTATTAAATTAATTTTACCAGTTTCTTGTTACCTTTTCAATGTGGCTACTAGAAATCTTAAGATTAGATATTTCTATTGGACGGTTCTGAACTAGATGAATTTCCAGAGCACTCTCTCATGAATTAGGTTGCCTGGCCCAGCTGTCTCGCTTGGCGATCTTTGCACAGTTCTGTGGCTGAGTCCTCTGCACAAGTGGTATTTTCCTGCAAGGGCTTTGGAGTGCAGAATCAGTTGAGCAAATTGTCAGTGTCACTTGAAAGTTGAGAAGGAGCTGGGGCTGGGGTAGTGGAGGTGTGGGGATGGACGTAGGTCTTTTGGCCCTGTTTTTCTTTATTTTGAAATGGGAACTATAATTTTTAGATCAATAATGCAGGTTGCATGGTCGATAAAAGAGAGCTCACAGAAGATGGACTTGAAAAAAACTTGCTACAAATACTCTGGGTAAGTACAAGAAGTTTTCTTATTTGGTTTTAGCAAAATAAACATAGAATGTACCCTAAAAGGATAAAAAAAAATTGACCAACTTTTTGGGTTTTTGGTCCTGGGCTGATGACATTTGCTTTAAGTGTATCCTGAATTGTACTTATTTTTCTTCATAAAACACTTTCTGTTTTCATGTTTCTTATAATAGGTTTTGGTGCCAGAAATACTTAGTATTGAAGTGTTTTTTTCCTAGGAAGCTCTAGGCTCTTTATAGACATTATTTTGAAGAGGAGAGCAAGTTCACCTGAAGTGTTGAGTGCAAATCTAAAAACCGCAGCCAAGGGAACTTCCAGCTAGGGCTGAGGAAGGTGCAACCAATGGGCAAGAGGATGGACCGAGAAGGGCATTGGCTAGAGCACAGGATACCTGGACTCTGGCTGCTGCTCTGTAATAGCAGAGTGAAGTCATTTTATATGAGGCCAGTGGCTCTCAAAGTGGGGTTCCCAGACCAGCAGCCTCAGCATCACCTGGGAACTTGATAGACACACACATTCTTAGATTCCTCACCCAGATCTACAGAATCTGAAACTCTGGAATGAGGCCAAGAGTGAAATCCATTTTGACACGCCTTCTGGATGATTCAGGTGCACACTAGAGATTGACAACTAATGTACCATGCTTTTAGTCTCCTTGGAGTTTCTCCTTCTCGAGCCAAGGGACCTTTCAATTTTGAGATGCAGTGAATCTAACACTCTTCCCTGGACCTATCCTACTTCCTTGTAGTGAGGGGGATGTTTTAATTAAGTATTGTTCTAGGTCACAAGATGGATGGCAGGGTTTGGGTGGTTGTTGGAGTCATTGAGTGTGTCCAATATATAGCAACCCTATTCCAAACCAAGAACTGAACAGATTGAGTCAGCCGATGGAATAACAGTTGAAAGCCAACATATCACTATTGTTACTGAAAAGGCTGGTCAAAAGGCATGGCTCACTGCAAGAGCCAAATGGGTTTCCTCATCTGGAACCCAAGAATTAGAAGGATTCACCTACCTAGTCACCTGGAACTTCCCTTCTCTTCTTCCCCAGAAAGGGGAGAAAGGGAGGAGCAGAACTGAGCAAGCCCCGCTCATTGTCCCCAAATTTACTAAATTTACTGTTTTTTTTTTTTGAGACAGGATCTTGCTCTGTTGCCCTGGCTAGAGTGCAGTGATGTGATCATGGCTCATTGCAACCTCGAACTCGTGGGCTCAAGCAATCCTCCCCACTCAGCCTCCCAAGTAGCTAGGACTACAGGCATGTACCACCATGCCTTACTAATTTTTTTTAATTAAAAATTTTTTGTTGTTGTTGAGGTGGGGGTCTCACTATGTTGCCCAGGCTGGTCTCAAACTCCTGGCCTCTAGTGATCCTCCTGCCTCAGCCTCCCAAATTGTTGGGACTGCAGGTGTGAGTCACTGCGCCCAGCCTAAATTTACTGTTGAAACGTGCTCCATCTCCCTGGCAGATGGAAGAAGGTCCAAGAGAGAAAGAACTCACCCTAATTGCACTCTCTTCTCAAGGAAAGAAAGGCTAGGAGTGGTAAGATGCCTTCTCCCCAGTGATGAGGTTGCATTTTTCAAAACAAATACCTGGAAGCTTGTGTGAAATGGCACAGGTTTAGTACAAAATATTTTCATCACTGACTTTGTTCCAAATGTGGTATCCTTGCTGCCATTACCAAAAGTACCAAAATGTGGGGTCATGCTAGAGTTTGGCTCATAACTCAATGGAACCGCTGAGACTCCCAGAGTGTCACAGCTGGCCCCCGAGTCACTGTTCCGCAGCACTGGTTACATAATTTGCAGAGTCCAGCACCAAATGGAAGTGCGAGGCTCCACGTTCAAAAATTATTAAGGATTTCAATGCAGCGACCACAGAGCATTAAACCAGGTGCAGGGTCCTTCCAAGTACTGGGTTTTGTGCGACCTCACAGGATGAAGCCAGCTCTTTTGCTCATCCATCCACCCGCCATCTGACAAAATTCTGCTAAGTGCTCACTGTGGCCTGGCCATGAATGAGAGTTGCATATATATATATATATATATATATATATATATATATATATATATATATATATATATATATATATATATATATATATATATATAATTTAGTGCTATGATGGAGGTATTCCTGCATCACAGATGAGGAAACTGAGGCTGAGAGAGATTGTTTCACTTGCCTCAGGTCAAGTGGAGGAGCCACAATGTGAACCTCGGTCTGACTTCCTCCACGACCCATGTTCATTACCAGTGCACAGTTCCACCCATGCCGGCATGTCCTCCCTCACCCCATCACCGTGTTATCACAAATAAGTGCTAAGAAGTACTGGGAGGGGGTGACCAGCTATGCCAGGGGAGGCTGGGCTGGGGTTGGGGGCACCTCTCAGAGAAGTCCAAAGGTTTTGGAAGATGAAAAGGAGGGGGTAATCTGGGGAGCTTGGCCTTGCCTGGGAATGTGGACAGGCTTGATAGACTCTAAAGGGACTATTTGATTATGCAGCTGGTTATGTTGCACCTTTGTAAGGATCCAGCCTGCTTCTAAAGACCTTGCTATCTCTGAATTTTCATTTCCTGTTTGTGTTAGAAGCATCTTATTGATCATTCCAACCTCTCTGAGAAGCGTAATAATTCTGGGGCTTTGATATTTACTCATCCTCTCTCCAGTGAAAGAAATAGTACAATAGACGAAGGGGCATGCCAGCACAGAGGGGCGGCTCCGTGGGTCTTTGCTTGAGAGAGAAGGAGATACAGAGAGGTTCAAGTGCTGTCATTCCTCAGCAGGAGCAGGCCAGACAAAAATCCTGGACCCCTGTCTGAGTCCTGGGAAATTGCTGGCTGCCTTTCTAATAGGAAACATGTTTTCCTGGCCTGATTATGTAATGTGGGATAGGTTGTTTTCTATTTTCTAAGATTCATATGAGCCGTCAGAAACATTTGCAGTCTCCAGCCAAACACCAGTAGGTTCCTGATACTGTGAGGAGAGCGTAAACCTCTGCATTCGCAGGATTTATCACCGGATCCTAAGGGTTTTGAAGCTGGTTGAATAGTTAAATGCAAAATGCCTTCAGCGTCCACGCCTGCACCCGGCTTTGTTGAGACATCACAGTGTATGAATTAGATAGTTTGGAAAGAATAATTCTGAACCTTTTGCAGAGGCGGGTGGGGTCTGGAGAGATTTTCATAGTTTATTTTACTGAGGGACAAAGGCGAGCTGCCCTGGGTCGGCTGATGCGCAGTTGAGCCATGGAGGGGAAGACGTCGCAGGAGACAGCTTCTGTTGGGTGGCTGTTCTCACCCCTTTGTTTCGGGTCTCCTCCAGTCACATACGTTTTGCCTGTTAGCATTCAGTGGCATTGAGAGTCCATGAGGAGTGAAGACAGATGGGAGGGGGAGGGCGGGGAGGCCGAGCTAAGTGCCCTGCTGGCAGCCTGCCACAGCCTAGCGTTAGCAGATTAAAACTCTCACCCGCATCTTAGCCTCTCTCACCACAGGACACAAGACGAGGACACTGATTCTGTCTCCACCAGGACAGCTGCGTCACCAGTTAATTGACTGCGATAAACAGGCAGTGGTGCCTTAGCTCTTTGGCAGGAGGCGAGGAAGTTCGCCTGAGGTCACTTTGGAAGGACGTACGTCGGGAGACAGAGAGTGTTTTTGCTTGACATTCTGTTACGTGGCACCCTCCTCAGGCACATCCCAGTACCTAGTGAGAGCTGCTGTTCGACACAGGGACCCCAGGTCCAGAGACGCCTTCATAGCAATAGCACATACTGAGCACAGTCCCCGTGCTGCAGCCTGCGCTGAAGGCTTTTCTTGGATTCTCTCATTCAGTCTCATAACCATGTTACAGATTTTACAAATGAGGAAACTGAGGCTCAGAGGTAGTCTAAAACCAGTCTGTGACTCACTTCCTAAACAAAGGACAACAAAATTATGGTGGGGGCATTTTTTAGCGTAGGGTTGTATGGTCAGCTATTGCTATGAAACAACTCCAAAATCTCAGGGTGTACAATGATAAGCATGCATTTTTGCTGACTTTCTGCAGATCTGTTGGGCGGGCTGATCTCAGCTGGGCTCAGCTGTGTGTCTCCAAGCTGCAGGCTTGGTATGGAGTATGTGCCAAATATCTTGCATCCTCCTTGGACCAAGGCGTCTTCTGGCCAAGGTATATTCTCAGGGCAATGGCAGAGGCCCAGGTGTGCAAGCAGTTCCAAGCCTCTGCTTGCATCCAAGCCCCTTTGATTAACTGGATATGATATCCAGTTAACCAATCCAGAAATCAGCAGATAATCCAGTTAATCAAAGCAGATCATTTCACAGAGCTCCAAATCAAGCATCAGAGAAGTATACTTCTCCCACAGAGGTGGCGAGCAGAGAATGAATATTGAACAATAATTTGCCACAAGGGTTTTTTTTTTTTTTTTAACATTCTAATTCTTTGAAAATGGGTCACCTGAGTTTAATACGATAACTACTTACTAATCAAAATACCTAATGAATAAAGGCACCTTATTTGTTCCATAAACTTTTTTTTTTCTTTGAGATGGAGTCTCGCTCTGTCACCTAGGCTGGAGTGTAGTGGCATGATCTCAGCTCACTGCAACCTCCATCTCTTGGGGTCAAGCAATTCTCCCGCCTCAGCCTCCTGAGTAGCTGGGATTACAGGTGCATGCCACCACACGCATCTAATTTTTTTATTTTTAGTAGAGATGGGGTTTCACTATTTTGGTCAGGCTGGTCGTTGAACTCCTGACTTCAGGTGATCCACCTGCCTCCCAAATTGCTGGGATTACAGGCATGAGCCACCGCGCCTGGCTTGTTACGTAAACATTTATAAAGGGCCCATTTTATGCCAGATGCTGTGGCCAGTTATGGGGATTGAGAAATGGAAGGGACTGCTGGCCTAGTGGGGGAATTAGACACATACACAATTTCAGTAATCATGTGGTAAAGCTCTCTTT